ATCGTACCACAACCTAGCAGTCTCATAGGGTATCTGTATAACATGGAAAATCATTCATCAATGCTCACCAAGTTAAGACAGAAAAGTTGGTGATAAGTTACATATAAAATTTTTTAAAAATCAGGACACAAATATCATGTGACTTTGTTAAAACACAAACCATAGCAAAAACTGCACTCTGACTGAGTTATAAAATCTTTGCACCTACCTTTATGGATATTACAATGTGTCCTTCATTTTTGAGAAAGTGATGCGCATTAATGGCCACAATACGTGCCTGATCTGGCTGTGCAACATCAGCAAAGATTGTGTCCACCATACCTTAAAGGTAGAGAAAGAAGTACATAAAGTGTATATATTCAGGTAAGATACTAAAATTAGCAGAATATGTTCAAGCATACCAAATACATAAGGTGAAAGGAATAACACTTAAGTACTCAGACTTGGGACTCAAACCCCCCCCCCTCCCCCCCCAACATTCATTGCGTAAATTTTCCTTTTTATCATTGTGCAAAAATTAATGGTGGAATAAGGGTAGCTTCAACATACCTAAGACAAAGCAAACACCCTCACTAAAAAAAAAGACAAACTTTAGGCACTTAAAAATTTTTATTCAGTTTTAACACGACTCTGGATCCCAGCACAATCACAGATTCTTGGCAAAGAAACTTACCAACCAGCATCCTGTATTTGTGAGGGTGCCTGGCATCTTCTATGATGGGTATAACATTTGTCCTCTTTTTGGCCACATTGATTAGGTCTCTGCCACTTCTGTGTGAAAACTCAACCGCATACACAACTCCTTCCTTTATGACAAGAAAACAGTAAGCAGTCTTACAAAAGTAACGTAAATTTAATCCTAAGCAGTGGCAAGTTGTGCCACAAAAATAGTGTGTAATTGCTTTCACCATTCTGTAAGGTGTATAGACTATAGTGCTAAATTACAATGTAACATGTAATTGAGCTTTGAGGTATAGAGAGCCTTAAAGCCAAAATATAGAGTCACTTAGTGCTCAATCAGCCTTTATAATTATCATATTGCAAACTCAAAAAAGATCCTTCATTCTTTTTAAATAATCATATCAATGTCATGCAGACTTACAGGTCCTACTATATCTGACACATGGCTGACTGTGGTGCCTGACGCAGCACCCAGGTAAAGCACTTTACTGCCTGGCTTAATGTGGATCTGCTCGACACCACCCAAAATGGCGGCTGCCAGCTTTGAACGGAAAGGATTCCATGCTCTGTATTCCAGCTTTGACCCATCATCCAACTGAAATTGAATGGTTTTAATGTTACAAAAAATTCATTACAGATTGATTTTGACTGATAGCATGCATTACTTCTTTTGCATTTATGTGAGCTTCAAATAATTTCAAAACCTCCGGGTGAATTTAAGACAGCTTAGAAATGGGTCTTGCAAGAGAATATAAACTTTACTTTTATTACATCAAATTGATAGTTTAATTTCTAAAAAGACTTAGGACAACAAGCTAAATGAATCCAAGCTAATTTGGAATGCCTTAAAATCTACTGATACTGAATCAACAATATGTATAGAACTATTGTTTTTGAGATCATTTTACTGGCAAATAAATTTCAAACAATCACCCACTCTAGTGAAGTTTCAAAAGAGGCAGTTATAATGATACTTTTTTCTTAAATACACCTTTATATAAAACAATAATTAAAGCACTAAAAAAGCATTTCAACTTACATCTACACTTATCCTCTTCTCTCCATAGACAGACTCTCCAGACACCATGTTTTTTGTGACAAGAACATCCTCTTTTCCACGAGATATAAACACACCTAAAAACAGGATTCAGTCAAATACAAGAAAAAGAATTATGCTATGGAACTATGATCACTTCTACAGTTTTCATTTTTTCCTTTTCAGAGAGGGGAAGAGGGATGCAAAATAATAAAATTAATATAAGTCATTCATTCATTTAATAAAATGAAATTTTTTTATCTCCTTACAATTATGATGACAGAAAAATAATCTTTTAATTTCATGTTCTCTTATTTTTTCATTCAATCATTAACTTCATGTTTTCTACTTGAATTTTCATATTTCAAGCATAACTTATCCATTGTTAATAAGACAATAAACATATAAAAGCTGGCATTTTCTGTGCTCATGTCAGCAGTCATAGTTTATCAGAAGTAACTCTGTATTTACCTGCATGTCTGTGGGGCTCAACAACTGTCTTTTTGCCAGCACCAAAGCCACCTGTTAATCAAGACAACAACGATAATGTACATGTTAGAGCAAAAAATCATTTTATGTGAAGCATTTAAATTTTGTGATAGAAAATTTTATATTACACCTCTGTCAGTTGCACAATTACCTAAATCAGAATGTGACATTCTAGAATAACACGATAAAATAATATGCTTTGTGATAAAGATTTTCCTTTTAAAGAAGTAATTTTTTAACTGATTTCCCAAACAATAATAGCACATAATGTTATTGAGACTTTGCCTCCTTTTCTTTCCTTTGAATAAACTTTTTTTAATAACAGCAACAATAACAAAAATGAAAAGTCAAATACATCTCACTTTAAGTTAATTGTGTTCAGCACCTGCTTAAACAATCAATACTAGCTTGAGTGATGATCCTATTTTTCTACCCCAAAAACCAATGCTTCATTATGTTAACATTTTCATTACTTCATTTCCACTAATTTCTCTCCCCTGAATATCTTATGCTATGAAAGTACACAACTACTTCTGCCTGCCAGCATTCTATAATTGAAATTTCAGTCAATAAAGCTACTAACCTCTTCCACCTCCTCTACCTCCACCGCGACCACCTAGAAAATCAATAAACAGAAATGAAATAAGGATCCCTGGAATCTTCTATAAGAATAACATTTGTCCTCTTTTCCACCACTGCCTCTTCAGTAACTTATGAATTATATAACTTATGAACTATGAATTTTCTTTTTCTTTTTCAAGGTTTTCAAATCAAATCTGTTTATGTAACACAGTTACACTAAGTAATTCTTTCTGTATGTTTATAAAAAGCTTGAGATAAACCAGTTCTGGTATATATGACTGACATCTATAAAAAAAAACTAGAGATTATCAACAGCTCAAACTTTCTGTCTAGAACTTGTATATATAAGTTAAATACTAAAATTATCCATATTATTTTCTACTAGTGAATTATATCAATTACATACCTCTTCCACCGCCTCTTCCCCCTCCTCTTCCACGACCCCCGCCTCGATCTCCAAATCCTCCCCTTCCACCACCCCTACCCCCACCACGTCCTCCGAATCCTCCTCGGCCACCACCACCACCTCGACCTCCAAAACCCCCTCTTCCCCCTCCTCTAGGGCTGAAACCTGGAACAACAAGCAAGTTCACTTTGCAGTTACAACTTAATCAAGTGTGAGACTATGAAGAGAGATGATTCATGAGTCTCAGACAATAACAAAGCAATGTTGATCTTCAGCTGGCTATTAGTTAATTAGTAGTAGTAGTCATAAGTCTTTGTATAAACCTGATGTTTTTTTTTTTTTTTTTCTTTTGCTACACAACTTCTTCTATATCTTGCATAGTCATATATGGCAAACTCTATCTCAGTTAAACGTGAATTAAAGACTGAATTGGATGCTTTACTTTGATTTAGGCTCTTGTCCAGGGAAATTAGGTGTCTGGGGCAAAGGCATAGCCTTGTTTATAGAGCATTTTGTCAAATACTTCTGTCTGCTTGTATGTGGATAAAATCCAAACTACATTAAATACATTCAAGATTTCAAAATTATTGAAGTAACAACGCTAAGAGGAAAATGTGATTCATATTAATAAAATTTTGGTCCTATCACAAATTGACAAAAGTGCAGCCCATGAGGTTACGCTTCTCTCATTCACTGGTACAAATACATACCCAACAGATGTCGATCGCCAATCTGATATTATTCATGGGCGTAAATTTATTCAATCTGTGAAAATCATAACAGTTTTTCGTTATATTACTCCAAATTATGATACTTTACCTGGTCTTCCCATATTTTCTGTATACACACGTGTTTCACGCTGTATGTATCCTACGCATGCTCAAGTGTGTTTCCGTTCACGTGACTAAAGTTTGTGTAGATCATTGAAAAGTAGCAGAAATCGAGAGTTGTGTGGGTCGATTCTTTCAAATTAACTTGCAGAGCTCATTGGTTCAATGCACCTGGATACATTGGAATATGCAAGTTTAATTTAGCAGGGCGTAGCATAATGTCGTTTTGTGTAAAATGCACCAGTGACGAGACAGGAGCAGGAGATGGCATAACGGGAGGGGGGGGGGGGTCTCGATAGCACTTATGCCCCCTCCCCCTCAGAAAATTGTATTAACCCCAGAAAAATCCATTTTATTTGTTTATTTAATTTTTTTTTCAAAAATGAAGTTGTTATCTCTTTAAAGTATAAGTAGAAGGGACCGGGCATGTAAGATGGAAATCACTTAAACAGCAAAAATAAAAAATAAATAAATAAAAATTAAAATAAAACCTGCAAAATAACTCATTTTTTTCAAGGAACCCTTATTTTAACCAAACAAAACTACTCAGTAAATTAAAAAAAATATATGGTTGGCAGTCCATGTAACTGGGGCAGTTTCAGAATGACAGTGACAATATGGGCTGACAATATTCAGAATATGCTGGGATACAGATCACATTTACAACTGGGTAATTCATGATGCAGAAAACAAAAATAAACTGTAAAACAATTGAGCACAATATATGAACTCTTTTATTAAAACATTAAAACTTTTCTCTCACAACAACAAAACTGTACTACAGTGAAGTGAACAGTTAATTTTCACCTTCAGCTCAGTAATAACAAGAACATTATAATAATCATTATTATTAATGCTAAGGCAAGCAATGGTGATGTCTTCTACATTTGAACTGCACCTGAACTGACTCAACTTCAGGAATGAGCACAAACCCCCCCCCCCCCCCCCAAAAAAAAAAAAAAAAAAAAATCCACTTTAGAGATCTTTTTTAATCAAGACACCTTGTCCTCTGTAACATGGAGGGAAGTCTCGTGTCTTTTGCAAGTACTTTTGGTTGAAAATCCCTTGCTACAAAACTTGCACTGGTGTGCCTTAATCATCCTACAGTTCTGACGTTCATGATACTTGCATGCATGCTTGTGTTTAAAAAGATTGCCACAGAACTGGCAAGGGTGGCTTTTTTCAACAAGATGACAACTCTCATGTTTATTACAGGCATCCTTGTCTGAGAATAACCTATGGCAGCTTTTGCATTTGAACATTTTTCCTTCCTTGTGCTCTTTTAAATGAAGTGCAACAAGGTCTCTCCTTGAAAATGCAACATCACAAATATCACACCTGAAAAAAAAATTAAATAAAAGAATTAAAAGACCAATTTAAAAACTCCTTCAGAACTTACAACTTATACTTGCTACAATACTTCAGATGTTGAGTAGGGCAGATAGGAAAGTCTTCTTATATTCATTCCATAAAAATACAGAATGGTTCAGAAAAGATGAATATAGGTACAGTAACACTTGCCCCAGTCCAGCATTAAATATCATGCACTGCATGTGAAAAGAGCATCCTCTCTATTTAGGAATTTTCTTAATCTGTTTGTGGTAAGGGATGATGAACAGAAATTTCAAATCTGTTTATTTCTCAGTCTGTTAATTTACACTGACCCTGCACAAAATGACAATAAAATTGCAGCTGATTTTTTTTTTTTTTTTTTTGTAAATTTCCTTCAGTTACTGGCCACTGTTTCTGCTAAGTGTAGGTGGATTGCTAGACCCTCGAGTTCACCAGGGCCAGTTGGCTAAACAGTTTTTAGTGTACTAGTACTAGCATACTAGTGTACATTTGTTCTTGTACATTTAAAACTGACCCAATAGGTCAAAGAACAAAATAAGATACCTGTACGGCTTCTCCCCTGTGTGAATTCTCAAGTGTCTTACATAGGAATCCTTTCTGAAAAATACCTTTCCACAATAATCGCAAATATGCTTTAGAAATGTTCCTTTTTGAAAATTTTCTTCTCCTTTATGCATTCTTTCATGTCTCTGGCATTCATTTTTTCCTTTGTAGTATTTTTCACAGAAACTGCATTTGAATGGCTTTGCATCAGTGTGTGCTTGCATATGCCTCATCAGATCTCTTTTGTCACGAAAATCTTTCGAACACAAGGGACAAGGAACACGTGGACGAGTGCAACCTTCTTTGAATACTTGAGCATGCCTCATCTGATGCACCCGAAAAATATCTTTTCTTGCAAATGACATCGGGCACATATCACATTTGTAAGGTTTTTCCCCTGAGTGTGTTCTTTCGTGCCTGTTGCGATGCCCAGACATTTTATATTGCTTGCTGCAGAAACGACATTTAAACTGTGATGTTGATGTTTTGTTCAGTATTTGGTTACTTGCTAAGGTGGCCTTTGTGTCATTGTCAGCAGCAAAACTGACTTTGGTACAATTTTTAATCCCCAAATGAGAACACTGATCTTGTTTCTCAGAACAATTCACAACACAGAGACTACCTTTCATATCTGTCCCTGTATTCTTATCAAGGTTGCAAGATTCCTTGAAATTCTCAGCTCTTTCACTATCATCATTGCATGGGGTTATCATTCCAGTGGTCAAATCTAAAGTAAAAATCTCTGTTTCAATTCCTTGTTCAACTGTGTCCTTCTTCATAGAATTATGAATTTGCTCTCTGGTTACATTACAAGAGTTGCCACTGGAACTTGGATGAATATCCAAAGTGTATAGGCTATAAGACTCACATGACTCAGTTTTTACCATGCTAGATTGCAATTCAGTGGGGACAAGCTGGTTGACATGGTAAAAAGCATCACAAATATCTCTTTTCATCGTGACAGACTGTGAATTGCTTTCAGCACAAGGATCATCAGGTAGGGCTGTATCATTGGAGATGCATACTGGTACTCCTTCTGGCATTAAAAACCTTTCTTCACATAAGTCTGTACCATTTCCCAACCCTTCAAGTTTCTCACTTTTAATTGCAAACCAAGGTCCTTCTTGCATTAAGCATCTATTATTGCTGCCCGGTGACTTTTCTAGTGTCACCTCTGTGACAAGTAAACCATTTCTACATCTTAAGTGTTCGCTCCCCTTACAATCACACAATTTTCCTTTTTGTTCCATTTCTGTTTTTATATCATGGGCATGCGACGTTTAAACTTTAAGTTAACATCATTAATTTTGTCGTTTCATTGTATAATTTCTTTTTTACTTTAACACTGTGTCTTGATAACTGTCCTGTCCAAATGTGCAAGATTTCAATCCGCAGCGTCGAATACGGTTTTTACAAGCAGCTTCTTTGCTACCATAACTCTGGTAATTTTTATGCACTAGCACTGAGATTTCAGTGAAAAGTAAGTCAAACGAGGAACAGCGTCAATTCGTCAGGTAATTATTAGTTTCAATCACCTCTCCATCCTATAGTGTATGTTCGTTTAGACACAAACTCTCCAACATCCTTCAGTTGGCATTTAGATTGAAGTATATTAATATGTACAAACTTCGTCTGCTATGCATAAATTCTGACTGCTATCCACCATCTTGAAATCTTCAAAGGATGCCACATCGAGGCTGTGACCTCCCGCGAACTCGGCGCTAGAGTTGGTCTAATCATGGAAGTAGAGAACTCTACTTCTATGGTCTAATTTATTTCTTCAAGTTCAGCCGTGTTGTCACTCAGGCAGTCAGTCATTCCTCAGATCCTAGTCACTTCATATGTTCCTTTTTTCATTTATACATTCATGAAATAGCCTGAATATTTTTCTTTTAATTTGAATTCATTTCAGTTTTGACTTTTGTTCGCTTGGACTCTCGTCCAAGTTTTCAAAGAAGAATTACGGGGTAAAAACGACCGGGTATTCATTTTTTTGTCTGATAACTCAATTAATAACATTTTCGATAAATAAATACATTAATTAAAAATATAATAAATTAATCAAAAAGTGCTGTCCATCTTTGTTTGTGAGTGTGAAATAGCAGGCCAATCTAATTACTTTAAGAAGAGCTTTAATTAATTATTTATTTGTTTATTATCCCCGCACTTTTGGGACAAAAGTCGGGGATCATGCGTCTGTGCGTCCGTGCGTCTGTGTGTTAGTAATTTCTGCTATCTCCTCCTAGACCATTGCATGTAGGAAGTTGAAACTTTGGGAATTGGTAGACCCATAATCAGGGATGTGCATGGGCACATAAGAATTTTAGTGCAACAGGAGGTTGGGCTGTCCCTGGGGGGTAGTTGATTCAAAATTCTTATGGCATTGTAATTTCTGCCATCTCCTCCTAGACCGTTAGAGATAGGAAACTGAAACTTTGGGAATTGGTAGACCCATCATCAGGGATGTACATGGGCATTTTGGAATTTTAATGCCACAAGGGATTTGGGCTGTCCCCGTGGGGTGGTTGATTCTAAATTCTTGTAGCATTGTAATTTCTGCTATCTCCTCCTAGACTATTGCAGGTAGGAAGTTGAAACTTTGGAAATTGGTAGACCCATCTTCAGGGATATGATGTGCATGGGCACTTTGGAATTTTAGTGCCACAGGGGGTTGGGCTGTCCCTGAATTCAAAATTCATATGACATTGTAATTTCTGCTATCTCCTCCTAGACCGTTAGAGATAGGAAATTGAAACTACAGAAATTGGAAGATCCATCATCAGGGATGTGCATGGGCATTTTGGAATTTTAGTGCCACAAGGGAGTTGGGCTGTCCCCGTGGGGTGGTTGATTCTAAATTCTTATAACATTGTAATTATCCCCGCACTTTTGGGACAAAAGTCGGGGATCATGTTATCTCGCCCGTCCGTGCGTCCGTGCGTCTGTTAGTAATTTCCGCTATCTCCTCCTAGAATATTGCAGGTAGGAAGTTGAAACTTTGGGAATTGGTAGACCCATCATCAGGGATGTGCATGGGCACTTTGGAATTTTAGTGCCACAGGGGGTTGAGCTGTACCCTGGGGGTGGTTGATTCTAAATTCTTAAGACATTGTAATTTCTGCCATCTGCCCTAAACCATTAGAGTAAGGAAGTTTAAACTTTATTATGTAATCATTTTTCATTTATCTAAAACATTATTCATGTTTTATTTATCCAAATATGTGGATATAAAACTTTTCTGTTCTCTTTTCTGTTTCTTAGCGTATATATATATATATATATATATATATATATATGTGCACCAGTGTACATACATGTATTTTTATATTTATAAAGATTTTTTACATTTATATTTTTAAATACCTTTGGATAAAGCAGTGATGTGTATGTATGTGTGTGCGTACGTGCGTGTGTACGTGCGTGTGTGGTAAGTGGTCCCTAGGGGTGAGCTGCTCTTGATAATATGGGGAAGTGCGGGGATGGCTACCCATCGACACCATCTAGTTTATAATTTATCAACAGTGGCTGATTTAGAGGGGGGTCAGGGGGTCTTCGGTTTCTGAAAAACATATCACACCAATATTCCCCTCTTGAAATTGTTAAATAGGCCTATATATGAGACTATGAGAAATTCAAAATGATATGATTCATACATCATTGACGTCTCGCGCCTTTGTTCGGGTTTAAAAGTTTAACTTCTGATTCCATGAATGGCGAACGTGGGCTTCATGCTGAAAATTTAATTTTAGTCAGCAGGCCAATTCCCCTAACTGAGCAAAAATGTATCGTAGCATGGTCTAGCATGGCAGTAGACCTTATAAATCGATTTGTGTGTGTGTGTGTGTGTGTGTGTGTGTGTGTGTGTGCAAAGAATGACACCCAATGCTGATTTTTCCGAATAATTTTCACATAGGGGAAACAGGTGTAACAGGAATGAAAGTCCTAGGAATGGAAGTCCGGGCTACCATATGATTAGTACAGGTTAGAGTTAATTGGGGTTAGTATAGGCCTATGGACGAATGTCACCGGTACAAAGTAATGGGAAGCGGACTATGGTTTCTAGCGGACTCCCATTCCTGTTACACCTGGGCTACATGTGTGTAATAGGCTCAGTTAGATACTTTTGTCCTTGTAGAGTTTCGTATGTGACATCGAATATTTGCACGACTTGAGCATATGAAGCTATCACCACCGGGCTTATTTAACATTCGTGAACAGTTTCAGCAACAACCTCTCATCTAAAATGAGCTATACCTGTTGTTATTTGCATAACAACAAGTTGGTCATCATACTCAGTAGTGCAAGCTGTCTTCCCGAATGCTCATTTGGCAGTTAGACAGAGTCGGGTGTAGACGCAACAGTAGGCCTATGTGTGCTGCAGTCAGAAGGTCGAGCTATTATAAGGCGTGGAAGCAAATGTATGTTTGTAAGTATCACTATTTCTTCATCAACCACAGCCATTAAATACTAAAGGAGCAGAAGAATGAGAAAAGTATTTACGACAAATATTTAAGACATGAATCCTTTTACTATGTTTCCATTGTTACTTCTATGTCACTCGGATGGTAATAATTATTGCTTACAGTGCATTGGGACTCCAAATGTTCAGGCATTAATCTGACTTTTGATGATAACCGAAGTTTGCTTGAAATCTTCTGCACTTTGTAACCCTCTGTTGGAACATTTTGTGTGCCCCGGCCTTGACAATTAATTTTGAATAATTTGACCTAATTAAAATGTCGTGTGTGTTTAAATGTAAGAAGACCCTATTACCCTAATTAATTAATTGGATGATGCTCGTCACCGTTCTGAGCTGCTGTTCCACAGATTTCGCGTGCTCATTGCACAATGATTGACAGATACATATTTTACACAGCCTGTCGTCTCCATTGTGCCGTGTGTTGTCCATCCATTACACGGGTCACTGTATTGAAAACTTATTATATATGTGCAATAATTGTTATAATTTTCGAAGAGAATTTGTAAATGATCTCTTTCTCTGAAATGCGTCAACATGTACTACAACACGTGTTATAACTTTTCATATCAAGAAGAATACATTAACGGTCGTAGCAATAACCTCACCCACCCTGCAAATGAAACGGCTTGTGCCATCAATGTTACTTTTTTAACAAGAGGCCTCAAATAGTCATATCCCAGTTCATAATTTTGGTTTTGCGCTAGCTGAATCTCAACATCAGACTAGTCAATAATCGTGCACGCCATTCCATTTATATGTGTCCTCTGCCCTGTGATATAGCATACATTATTAGAATGTAGAGAGCCTGTCTGTTTAGTTCAAAGTTGTAAATATTATTTTATCTTTTCAGGAGCTCAACGAGATTCTTCATAGCATCCGCCTGAAAGCAACCTATGAAGTCTAGCCTTTGTTTATTTCACACACAGGAACCCACGCTCCTTCGTACATCTATTATATGAAAACTTAATAAAAAACTTTTGTAATTTGGCGATTTATTTTTCACTTTGTTATGAAATTATTGTGATAAGGATAGTAGTAATCATAATGGAAAATGAGTTATTTTTAGTGTTTGAGGACTATCAAATTCAATCTGATCTGTAAATTATGTCAATGTTTTTGTGGTTGACGGTTTTCTGTGGTACCTAAAATTTAAATTGTTGTAAAATGACCAGTATTTTCTAAATAACCCCTCTAAGCTGTTTTAGCGCACTGAAATAAAATATCTAAAATGGTTTCCAACAACCTACATTTTGTAGTTCAAATTTATATAAATTTCCAATCCTGGATTTTAAAAAATTCACATGAGATTTTTGTTCTGTAGCATATGGAACTAATTCGTTTGGATATAATTTTCCTATATTGTCTTATATAGGGAGGGTCCTATTTTGACGGGTTTTGGCTTTTTCTATCGTGAATTGTTTTAATATGGCGGCCTATTCTTGGTATAAATATTTAATTTGATATTTGAACGTAATAATGAAAAGGTTTGATGATTCTGATGTAAGCTTAAATCAAGTTAGTTCTTTCTAATGGATACGGCTGAAATTGATAAAAAATTTGATTTCTGGGGGTAAAACAAAATTTTTTCAGTTCCTGTTCTCTGAACCAAATTGGGATAATTAAATGACTCGCCCCACCTGTCACCCCTTCTAATGCAGTGGACTCACCCCTCCTGTCACCTTTTTTTTTGCAATGGACTCGCCCCACCTGTCACCCCTTCTTATGCCATGGACTCGCCCCACCTGTCACCCCTTCTAATGCCATGGACTCGCCCCACCTGTAACCCCTTTTATGCAATGGACTCGCCCCACCTGTCACCCCTTTTATGCAATGGACTGGCCCCACCTGTCACCCCTTCTAATGCAATGGACTCGCCCCACCTGTCACCCCTCTAATGAAATGGAGACGCCCCACCTGAGATCCCTCAGATTGAGTTGATTTTCTCCACTTAATCCCTCCA